AATCAACTACAAAATTGTACAAAAAATTACAAATGTTAGGGAGCCTCCCAACAAGCGCTTGTTTTACGACATTAGCTCGATAATTTTATTGTGCTTGGCTAGTAACTTCCTCTTGTCATGTTGATGCTTTTCTCAAAGCGCAAACTAAAAGCAAGTTTCCTAACCAAACATTTAAACAAACATTACGAAAAACAAGAATATATACAACACTTAACGAACATTGATGGACAACGCATATATACACACTTGAACAAATTGAAAAACAAATATTCACAAGTATGAAAAAAAAAACACATAACGAGTATCTATACACAAGTATGAAGTGAACATATATATAAAGAAAATATAACTATAAAATGGACAAGTTCATTTACAAAGTTCTATACAATATAAACAAATATAACCAAAACTCAAAAACATAAAACTATTGCAATGAAATTCAATATCAAAACACTAATCCCCGAGAACAACGCCATTTGTTGTTGCAGTAAAGCAGCAAGCAAAAGTAAGTATTTTTAGTTTTGTTTTATTGTTTCCACAAGGATTAGTGCGAGGCAAAGAATGTAGTTCAACAATATCTATGTTTCTGAGCTTGGTCTTGAATGGGTTTAAATTAAAACATATGAACAGGAAAATAAATTCATCTTTATAGAGGACAGGACTTGTCTGGCATGAATTTCATCTACTCATCACAAATTTAAACCTATCGATCAATTTTACTCAACCTACAATACTCGTCAAAATCATCACTTATATCTCACATCAGTGTTCATTTCTGAAACACCTACGAGATGTACCACAATAAAGGTCATGTCTAATGCAAAGTTGTGAGAACAACCATATTACTCTTGTCGATGATGTGTCACGCAAATCAAACAACACAGAGGAATTAAGCTTCGATACCCATAGTGAATATTAGATATAATCTATACCTAGAATCTAGAAACTAATAGATATCCATCCTCAATCGGAATTTGGGAGGTATATGTCTATAACAATACAAATCCAAACATAAAGCAAAAAGATTAAGGAAGACATCAACAATGATTTGTAAATTAGATTTTAAACAACGCCATGAGAGATAAATATACATAATATCAAAGTAAGATTACAAACAAAACCCAACAAGTAGAGAAATACATAGAGAGGATGAGAAATAAACTGACACTCCTCGTGTTGTCAGGACGATTCGTGCAAACCCATCTCTGATTCATCAAGATGCAAGCTCCAAATATTGTTTTCTAGCCTCTCTCTACCAAAGAATGATTCTGATGGTGTTTGGACTCAAAAATACCAAAACCATCTTCTAAAAATTATGTTTGGAACTATTTATATAAAGCTGAAAAATGCAGGTCGCGCTAAGCGACATAACCGCGCTAAGCGTGATGCCACTTATTTTACACTAAATTTCCTTAAATCGCACTAAGTGGGTTGAGATGGCTAAATAAAACAACCCATGCCAGAATAAAACAACCCACTTATCTTCTCAGGCAAGCTCACCACCACGTCGATCGCCAGGACGCGACAACGACAACTATTTTTACTCCAAAAATTCACAAACGCTACATCACTCCACTCCTTTTCACCCGTTGAATCCAGAAATCACATTCGTTTTCATTGATCAAGGCTAAAATCCACACAATCATACAAATACACACAAAACCTAACCGTTTAGATTTCAAATCAAATCTTACATAGTCACAAATAATGCCTATAATGATAGGGCTTCAAATCCACATATCACAAGCTTCAACTATGAAACAAGAATAAATTAAAATGATGATAAAATAATAGAGATTGAAGTGCTCAAAATCGTACCTATCGGAGAATGTTCGATGCGACTTCACAAGTGTTATAGATGATTGGAAACGATTAGAAAAGCTTCACTGAAACTCCATCTACGTGAATATGTGATCAATTTGCCTTGAATCCTTCTAAAACTCTCAAACCAAGTCTACTTATTTTGCGAAGAATTTTGAATGAATAGAGAGATATGAGAACTATGAGGTCTTGAAAAATGCTTACAGAAGCTCCATTAGGAAGTGTTGATGAAGATTTAAATGAGAAAATACAAAGAAATCCAAGGAAATAGTGAATTCGAAGTTAAGATTTGAGAGAGAGAGAGAGAGAGAGAGAGAGAGAGAGAGAGAGAGAGAGAAAGTTTGTGATTTTTTGAAACAATGATGAATGAATGAGAGAATGGAGGGAATGTAGCTTTATAGTGAGGTGAATTAGGTTAGGAATTAGGTATGGAACGAAGCTAAGCTCTGGAGTTTATTGCATTTTCTTTGGGAGTTTGATAGAACCAATTTTAACTTCAAGTTACAGGTTTGGATCAAGGTTGGATTTATGGATTAGGCTCGTGTTTGAGGCTTGGGTAAGAGTTGGTTAAGCTTGGAAAAATGAGTTGACATCATGAGTTGTGTTGAGCAAGATTAATTATCCAATTCCATTTTTCTATTTTGAGATATTTGCAAGCTTTTTTCTCATGTAGCAGGCACATGTATTTGTCTATTTTAAGCAATGTTTGGATTCATTTTAGTTATGTGGGACGGGTTGTATAAGAGGTACAATGCGTGAGGCGGGTATTGTATTATAGCCAAGTTTGGATAGGTTTATTTGGACCACTTGAACCATTCATTTTGGACAGATTTGGAAACAAACCCTTTAGCATTGATTCATAACTTTAGACAAGAACAAAATTGGGAATGCTTTGAATTATTGGACAGATTTTTGAGCATAGGTGAAGCAAGGCAATGGCAAGTTTAAATGAAGTGGTTGATGGTAAATGTATGGGTTTAAGCATTTTTAAGACTTAACAAAAGGACATACATGATTTGTAATTTTGGACATATGAACTTTAATGACTGATATTTTTATCTTGGACATTTGAAACTTGAATCAAAATGATGATTAATTTGATGGACTTGAAACCAAGATGAATGCCTTAAACTTAAGTAATTTGCTTGCCAAGAAATCCATCTAAATGAATCTTTAAACTTCGCATGTTTATTGCATTTGATCCAACCAACTACCTTTGATATTTTGATCCAATTTTGAACCATGTAATCACTTGTACCAATCTTCAAATTAAATCTTAATTCAACTCCTCAATCCACAAGTAACTTGTACTACAAGCAATAAGCAAATGAAATAAATGATGATGTCTTGAGCATAATGAACCTCTTGCTTCCTCTCTTGTATTTCAGTCCACAAACTTTTGACTTGACAAAGTATTTCCTCAGTAAATGCCTTGATCATAATAACATTGCCTCGAGGAGTCCTTGATGAAGAAAGGAAGGAAAGAACTTCAGATGTTGAGAACCAATAAAGCCCTACTTCCAAGCACTCTCAGTTGAATCAATGATAAAACCCTAACACTTGACATCTTGAAAAATCTTGATGAAGATGACATTATATCTTTATGAATCTTAACAAAGAGATAGACTCGTGATAAAGTGAGTTCAAACCCTTCCTAACTTGAGTGAAATATCCAAACACCTTTGAAAGGGGAAAACCCAATTCACCAGAAAACTCTTGATCCTGTTCCTTAGAAGCTCATGAGATGAATGATTATAGAGCATTATGACCTAATGTAGTATGCATATGAGTGAAAAGAAAAAGCCTATTAGGGTTAAGAGAATGAGGGTAAGTTTTGGGGATACAACATATTGTAAAATAAATTTTTCAATGTTGTCAACAAAAGAAAGTAATATATTATATAATATTTTCTTTGATTGACAACATTGAGAATTTATTTTAAAATATAACAATATTTTATTTTACCGTTCAACATTGACAAAAGGTGATAACAACAACCACCACCACCAACAACAACACCAACAACAACATACCATTATGTGAAATAGATTGCAAAAACAGAAAAATAATTTGTTAAAGGTTGGTGTTATAAAAACAACTACACAAAACAAAGTCATTTTTTTGTCTTGCTATTCATTCAAAAGAATGATGTTTACGAGTATGGAGCGATTGTATATATGAGTTAAGTTTATTTAAGATAAATTTAGTGAAGAATCCTTTTATAGCTTATTTTGGGTATCATACCTTTCGATTATTAGAGATTATAAAATAGATTATTTAATAATTTAATAAAATTTAAAATAAAAAAGACACTACTTTTAAAAAAATAAAAGCAAAATTTATCGTTGCTGTGATTCAAAACATAACTCTGAATTATTTTACCTCTCAGTCATAATATATAACTGAAGGAATATATAATATTTTTAAATTAAAAAAAAAAAAGAAAAAAAAAAAAAAAAAGAAGCTAAGCGCATCCAAGAATTATACCTTAAATTTTTTATTAGATGTGGTGAAAGTGGTGTCATAAAATATAGACAAAATATCTATTTTGGTCCCTTAATTATATCTTTAGATTCAGATTGGTCACTTAATTTTGGTCCCTTTATATATATTTCAAAACGTTTCATTTTAGTTCTTTTTATCTAATTAGCGATGGAAAAACTTTGAAATTTGTCGCTAAATCTGTCGCTAATTGGATAAAAAGTACTAAAATGTAACATTTTAAAAATTAAAAGATCAAAGTAACACGAAAAAAAATTAAGAAACCAATCTGAATTCAAGGGTATAATCAAATGACTAAAATGAGTATTTTGTCTAAAATATATTAGTTATAGTAGTTTAATTGTCAAAAGAAGTCTTAAATAAATTTCAAATTAATTTAATTGTCAAAAGAAGTCTTAAATAAATTTCAAATTAATTTAATTCATAATCACATAACGTGATAAACCTTAAAATGATCTTAATGGAACATTTCATCTATTAAGTGACTTTCATTTGACATTTCACATATGTTAATTTTACATTACACTGATAAAAAGAATATACTATTAAAATTCGAGATACAAGACACTCTTCAACGAGAAAAACATAAAGTAATTATAGAAAATCAAAATAAGAACAACACCAAAATAAATATATATATTTTGCATTGATCTATAAGGTTTGGATTCAGAACTCTATCATTTGTTGTTCTTAGGTGGATGATGCCTTGGTGGATGATAGTCAGTAGTAAAAGCAACAAAACCACCATCAACCTCATGAGACAAATCATGTGTTCTCAAACTTCTCTTTGCATGAAAACTTTGTTTCTCTGAGTCTATTGCAGTTATGCTTTTCTCCTCATTGTTGTTTGCAGTGGCAACACTAGCCTGTTCAAGAAATCACATATGTATTAGTTAACAATATATTCCTTGGAATTAAAAAACTAGATTCCCATTAAATATTTTAAAACTATAAAGAAATGACAAGTTTTTTTTTTTTTGAAATTTAGTTAGAAAAAAAAACTAATAAAAATATTTTATTTTTAAATATTATTATACTATTCTTACCGAAAAAATAATTTTATTATACTATTAATTATGGTTTTCATACGAATTCGAGTGTTTGTGATAGTTGGATTGAGATCTAATAACTCACACTAAAACATAAATTTTAATATCTATTTTAAAAATTTGTATATAAGTTAAAAATTTCAACGGTTCGATCTCAATCTAACGGCCCAAAATACATTGAATGAATCAAAATATGTTCGAATGGAATCGTGATTGTTTCTAATAATTATGATTGTTACTTTTGAAAATATTATTAACAGAATTGTTTAATAAATAATTAAAATCTCAAGAATAAATTAAAGTTTTTTTAACTTCAAAAGTTTAAAATAAAAACAAATTCAATAAATGGTATGGAGTTCCCGTAAATATGGATTCAAAAAGTTAAAGTTATAGTTTATAATGTTTCATTTTCATTCATTTATAATCCATTTTTATATGTATAAAATAAAATTTAAAAAATTGAAAATTAAAAATATAAATAAAAATAAGAATATTAAAGAAGAAAAAAAAATAAAAATGACTTAAAATAGTAACCAGAAAAGTACATAACATTTTTAAAAAGGAAGCAAAAAGTATGCATAATTACCTTTGTACTCGAAATAGTATTAACTTCTCCACTTCCTGCATGTGAATTTCACGTTTTGAGGTCATCATTTAACAATAATAACTAATCACTTAATGCATATATAGAAACATATCTTAAGTAAAATACTATAACTAAGGTTGAAATAAAGGATATACCTGGAGGATAGAACCTAGCAGTAGATAAACAAGCAGCACAGAAGAATACAAGCAAAATACATGCAGTAGTAGTACTCTTGATAAATAACATGATGATGATTATCACTCTTAAGCTGAATTAAGAATTGGAGAAAAGAGAGGAATAACTTCAAAAGAGGATGTTGTTATTTATAGCTAAATTAAAGTGTGTTATGTTAGGCTGAGAAAACCAAGGTCAAGTTTAGTATTCATACTCATAACCCAAGTCAAAGATTGGAGCTATCTTTCCAACATTCGCCTTCTTCAATGTGCTACACAATAAAATATAAGATACATGTTTTTTCACCAATATCTTTGTATTTATTGTATTTTAAATTTTCTAATTATTCTATTTAAGTTGTAATTCATTATTTCGTAGAAAATCAGTAATCGATATAAGTGTGTTTCACTTAGTCGAAGTAGTAATAGTTGTATTCGACTGAGTCGAATACAACATATAGATATTGTGTCGAAATTAAAATATAACTTATATTTTGGATTTGGATTGTATGTTTTGTGTTTGGGTCTTGATCGTCTATAAATAGGCATGACGTTGTATAGTTGTAACACACTTAACAGCTTTAGTAATAACAATTTCACAAGTTTTGAAATTTAATTTATAGTTTCCCCTCTTTTCTCTCTAAAATCATCTTCCTCGTCTTAATTGAAAATCCTAATTGTTCCAACAAATTGGTATCAATTAATCTGGTTGCGATTCAGAGAAAATCTGTAATGGCAAACAGAATAACAACATCAACGTGATTTCCAGTGAATCTACCAGTTTTCAAAGGTGATAACTACGAGAGACGGGTTGCATAAATGAAGGAGATCTTCAGATTTTAAGATGTGTCTGAAATCGTGAATGATGGAGTAACGGTATTGGAAACGAGTGCAGATGATATTCAGAAAGCCGCGCACAAGGATCAAAGGAAGAAAATGAAAAAGTTTTGTTCTTGATTCACGATGTGTGGATCCTAACGTGTTTGTGAAGATAATTGAAGAAGAAACAACCAAAGTAGTGTGGGACAAGTTGAAGAACTGGTACGGCGGAGATGAAAAACTAAAGAGGGTGGAGTTGCAGACGTTGAGAAAACAATTCGAGATGACTCAGATGAAGGAAAATGAATCTGTCTAAGAATTCTTTTCACGTGTGATACTGGAAACGAACAAGATGAAGGCGTGTGGTGAATCAATCAATGATTTGCAGAAGATTGAGAAAGTGTTGAGATCTCTAACTGCAAATTTTGATTATATTGTAGTGTCAATTGAAGAGTCCAAAAACCTAGATGAGATGAAGTTAGAAGAACTTCAAGCTTCATTAGAATCTCATGAGATGAGGCTGAAGCAGAGGAACTCAGAAAGGGAGAAGATGGTTGAACAGGAACTGCAAGCAAGATTCATCAAGAAATCTGGAAAAAAGTAGGTAAAGTATAGAAACACTACTATAAATAATACATTTCATGACAAAACTTTCACATCAGCTAAAAATAACACGAGGTATAATGCCAAGGCGCGCCATGTTTTGTTTTTTTTTTATAAAAAAACATATTCCCTCAGTTTTTAATATAACCGGGGGAAAAACAATTTCGTCGAATTCCAACTATTGCAACTTATGTTTTTATTTCTTTGTAAGTGTAAACTAAATGATCTATCCCTTGGTTTTCCCTAATAACTGCGGGATAAAGTAATCAGATTTTACTATAAAAATATCGTCAAACAAATTTTACCTTAATCCTAACTTATACGTAGTGGCCCCACACAAGTATGCATTATTCTTTTGCGATGGATTACAAGACTAAAAAAATTTCAATGTTCCTCTATCTTGAATAATTTTTTTCCTTCTCGTACAATCTATCTCACATAATGGTGTTGATGTTGTTGTTGTTGTTGTATTTTTGAAACAACGCTCAGTTAAAGAAGGTTGGAAAAATTCTCTATGATATATTGCAAGTGTTGAAAATCATTTTTGCTTCAATTAAACAAACAAAGAAGTTCAACCTTTGAAAATATTATAAGCTCATTTTTTATTCAAGATATGCAACAAAATTTGGAATAACAGCGACCATGGTGAATCTGAATTTATTATAGTCAATGTATTTTAATATTCTGTGTAAACAATATAATATTAAAAAAATTATTTACCTCGGTTTTCTACTGAAACCAAGGGGTAAACATATTTTACCTTCGTTTTTTTCATAACTGAGGTGATAGTTTTGGCGTGATTATTGAGGATATTAATCACCGTCCTTAAACAAATCATTGTCGTCCATTTCATGAGTATCAACGCTCAAGAAACTACCATTAGTGATCCGTGTGAAACATGAAAAAACTTTTGTTATAAAAACATTCTGAATATTAAAAAAGATAATGAAACATCATGAAGGGCTTGAAACTATCTATATTCACTATTTTATTTGGGTTTGCAACAACATTTTCCATGAAAAGATCTCTATGATGGATTGCAAGAGTAGAACATCATTTGGGTTTAATATTTGTGTTCTTAAATATATATTTGAGCATAAAATTATTTATTTATTTAACCTTTTTTGTTTGATTTTAGAAACAAATGCAAACAAAAGCAATAGAAAATATCCTGCACCCAATATTTTTTCTTCCCCAAAATTCATTGATTCAAAGATGGAAAATGAATCTTCAGGGAAATAAATTTTTACTTTAATATTTTGTGTAAACAATGTAATATTTTGGGTAAACAATGTAGTTTGTAAATAAATAAATTTATTAATATTATGTGTAAACAATATAACTAGTTTTTTTCTTTCTTAAAAAGCAATCTATCTTACCCCTCGATTTATTGATAAACTGAGAGGTATATTGCGCTAGTTTTGAAAATAATAAAAGTGCAGAAGCTAGGGTTCAAACTCATGTACTTATAACTTTAACCCTCGGCTTTTTAATAACCTAGGGGTAAAGTGGTAGCTTTTCATGACACCCTTCGTTACCTCGCTTCTGCAGTCGAGGTTAAATACATTTCACACCCGAGGTATAATGCATTTTTTGTAGTAGTGAAAGAACCTTTTTCTAAAAATGAGAAGTCAAGCAAGAATTCAAAGAATGAATCTGAATCTACCAAGAAAGACATGGACAATAAGCATTCGGGGAAGAAAGTTGACATGAAGGAGGTACAATGTTACAACTATCAATGATTTGGTCATTATGCTCGAGACTCTCAAATAAAGAAAGAAGCAAGAGTAAAAGGTAATGACGAAGTGCAATATGCTGGAGATAATGATTCTGATGATGTGCTACTAATGACAAATACTCAGTCGGGAAATGAGAAAACCAACATGACTGGAAATAAAACCCGGTTCACCAAGTTAGATGAATCAGTCAAGAAAGTGATCAAGTTTGCAGATGGGAAGCACCTCAAATCAAGTGGAAAAGGAAACATATATGTGGTTAGAAAGGATGGTCGAAAAGCCAGCACCACTGATGTGTTGTATGTACCTTCAATAACAAGTAACTTGTTAAGCATGGGTCAATTACTTGCCAAAGAGTATAACATGAAGCTAGAAAAATTCAGATGAAGTTATATATTGGTGATGGAAGATTGATTCTGAAAGCACCGTTGGCCGATAACAAGACCTTAAAATTAGAGATCAACATGGTTGATCACAAGTGTCTTGATTCGAATACAGAAGAAGACAAGAATTGGCTATGACATCATAAGTATGGACATATAAATTTCAGAAGTTTATGTATGCTCAACCAGAAGAAGATGGTATATGACTTACCTCAAGTGAAGGAACCAAGTCAGGTGTGTGAAGAATGTTGCAAAGCAAAGCACTCTAGGAGAGAATTCAAACATGACTTTCCGATGAGATTGAAAGAAAAGTTGGAGCTAGTTCACTCTGATGTGTGTCAACCTTTTGAAGTAAGGCCGAATGAAGGTAACTGTTATTTCCTAACTTTCATAAATAAATTCAACAGATATACGTGGATCTATCTGGTCGAAAGGAAGAGTGGGATATTCACATAGTTCAAGAAGTGTAAATTGCATGTCGAGAAACAAAGGGATGCAAGTTGTAGAAAATGAGAACTGGTGGTTGGGGAGAATACTCTTCTCGAGAATTCACTAGATTTTACAATTAGGAATGTGAAAAGCATAAGTTTATTGGAGGTGCAAGAAAAGAGGATTTGAATTGAGTTTCTAGAAATAAAATCTTTTCGAATCCAAGCACAAGAAGTTAACCCAAGAAAAAAATAAATAAACATAATTATTTTTATCCTGGTTCACTGTTAACGAAGTTAATCCAGTCAATCCACCAAGGTGATTTTCCTTTCTTAATCAAGGAGTTAATCCACTATAACCAAACAAATTTCATTCCACAAAGATAAACTGTCAATGTCTTCTTGAGAATCCTGACTAAATCCCTAGTCTCTCAAAGAACAACACCTCAGAGACAAACTGTCAATGACTTCTTGATTATTCAGACTAACACTTAGTCACTCAAGGAACAATCAATGCATTGTTGAATATAATATTTTATGTTTACAATAATGCTTCTTGAAAGCAGATTACACAGAAATGGAGAACAGATAATAACACAACAGGGTTAAGCAAGTTAGCGAACAATAGTTCCTTGCTAGCAAGTTAATGAACAAAAGTTCCTTGCTTTATAAAAAATTACAGGTTTATTTTGGCAGCGTCTCAGGAATTTGAATTTGTGTGAGTTTCTTACAAGTTGTTCAACGATTCCAATTCTTCCAAGTCTTCCTTTTATATGCAAAAAGAAATCTGTTGGGGGGTAGAATAGGAATACCAAAATTCTAGTTGTCTTCTTGCAATGGTCAATGTGAGTGGTAGACAATATAGTACTAATAGTACAGTCCTTGCACCATAAAAAAAGGGTAGTGGAAGTATTTACTTTGTGATATCACTTTGCATGAGACCTTTGATCTTTTCTTCTAATCTTTAGAGGCTTAAGAGTATGTAAGAGTTGAAGCATGCTTAGAAGGATCAAAACCAATCTCCGGAACCTTGGTCTTGATAGTCTTCATAACTTGTTTAAAAAAACCTTGTCTTTATAATCTTCAGAACTTGTTCAACAAAAC